GAAAATGTAGGTGTGGAACTCTATGGCAAGACTGGTGCTGAATTAGACATTTGGTAGTCAATGGTGCATAACCTAGGTGTGGATGAGCTTTCTTAAGGGTGGTATTTGGAGAATAAAACAAAGATGGCAAAGGATGAAATCCAAGGGAACTTTTAAGAGTTAGGCCCCCCAAAAAGAGAAGCCGTTAAGATGTGAACACAGTCAGCATCAACAGGCCTCCTTCAAGAAATTAAGTAGGCTTTTATTTATGAAGTTTTGTTGGTTTTCCTTCCTTTTTTCTATCAGCAAATTTTTCTATTTATCTATTAAATGAAAAAGTATTCCATCAAGTGACTGAGGATGTTATCTTCTATCTTCATAGATGGGATTTTGCATATTTCTCCAACTAACTTCAACGTGGGCCTCTATTTCAGCTCGTGGTGCAAAACCTGATATTGCTAGATCATAATCCAATCCCTTTTATTAAGAATCCAAACTAAATTAATTTGTTCTCCTTCTCTCTCTTCATTTTCTAGCCTTCTCCCTGGAAGTAATCTATGTGTAATATGGAGGAAGGGGACTCACATAATACATCTTTCTAATATCAGAGGAGGGTTGTCTGCAGTAAGTGTCATCTTGCATTTTCACCAGCTTCTGCAGAGTTACCTCCTATCTTGCCTTGCATCGGCCTCTGTTCTCACCAGCCCAACCTTAGCCTCTAGTGGACAAGTTCATACCTGCTATGAGATCTTTGCCCTGGCTCTCAGCCCCTGCAGATCTGTCAGCCCACTCAATACTTTGGAGAATACTTTGGAACTCCCAGGTGCTTTACCAACCCCGAGTCTGGATGAACGTATCTAAGCACCCGCATCAGCTTAGTTCTTCCACAGTTTCAATCTCTTGGTTCACAAGGGGCTTCTCTGTGGCTTAAAGTTCCTGGGGATTGTGGGTGTCTACTTCTCTGAGATCTAACCAACATCTCATCACAACCCCTCCATCCTCCTCCTTCCTTTAGCAGTTATGCTTTTTCTCCCTTTAGGCAAGCAAACCACTGCATATTAATATGCATTTTTCACTCGTCTGTGATACACTGTATGTAGTCTACATCCTGAACCTCACAACTTTGCTCTTGACAAAGACCAGTTTTTATTTTTTCTAATTTCAAGAGAAAGGTTTCTTTCTCCATAAAGCCTGTGCTTTCCACATAAAAAACATGTTAGCTTTCAAACTGATGTCCTAGTATATTAAGAGTTACAAAATCTACTTAGCAGCTCAGAACACAGCTGTTTGCTCAAGGCCAGCATGCACAGAAAGTGTGAGATGCTACCTGAATTATTAGGGAAAGGAAGGAGTACATAAATAGCTGGAAAACAGCAAGTTCTGAATGTATCACAATATTATCCTAGGATTATTTGATAACAATTTCTGCATTAACTAAAATGGATCATCAGCTGGAACAAAAACTCCCTCAAAATCTAATGCAATAGTTTGTTTCTTGCTCACTCCCCAGGCCAATGCAAGAAAGTGGGAGAAGGGGCAGTAGACAGTGTTGCTGTTCATACCGGGACTTAACGCCCCTTCCATCTGGTGGCCCCTCCATCTTTCAAGTCCTGAGTCCTCAACTGGATCTCTGCACTGGGCAGTGGTCGGGAAAGAGAAAGTGAGCAGAAGCTCTCCTGGGATACTCTGAGGGTTAGCCAGAGTGGCAGACAGGATTCTAAGATGGTCTGGAGGATTCCCTGCCCCCTAGTGTCCACATCCTGTGAATATGAAGGATTTCACTCCTATGATTAGGTTATCCTATACAGGACAATTGAGGAAAATGACCTGAGTGGGATGGATCTAATTACATGAAACCTGGGTCTAGAGATCAGGAACACTGGTAACCAGAGACTCAAAATGAGAGAGATTTGATACATAACAAATTTTCCACTATGGAGGGGGCCAATTACAAGGACCTGAGAGCTGTCCCCAGTGGGCAGACAACTCGTAGGAAAATGGGGTATTCGTCCTACAGCTGCAAGGAAATGAAGTCTGCCAACAACCAATGAACTTGGAAGAGCTCCTCCAGCCTGAGATGAGAACTGCTCCCACCCCAAAAACCTGATCAGGCAATGAGCAGAGAATCCAGTCAGGCCATGCACCAACAGAAGCTGTAAAATCACGCGCTTCTATTCCTTAAAGCTGCTGAGTTTGCGGCAATTCCTCACGCAGCAACAGTAAGCTAACACTGGTCACAGTGCCTGGCATCGCTTTCATCCACACCGCATCAGCCAAGGTTCAAGCACAGAGCTCATCTCACTGCAGAAGCCAGGAAATGTAGACCAGCTTGTTTTCAGGGGGAAAAGGGAATGAGCTGGTGAGCACGTAGCAGTGTCTTTGCCACTGTTACCTATTTCAGCCAAAGGTAACCAAGCCACATTCCCAAGGGCTTTTAGACATCCTGATATTCACTTAGCATTTGTTCTGATTTACTCAGTTCATTTTCTCACATGAACGATAAATGGAATAACTCTAATATGGGATCACAGAGAACAATGTCAATCACATTCTGCTTCTAGGCCTGGCTTTCATCTGAATATATTAGCTGAGCTTCAACAAGTTCTTTCACTGTTCTGCTTCATTTCTGTTGCCACGAACTAAGGACAAAAACAGCAGATGGATAATCCAAATCATACATACAAGGACAAAACTGAGTCCTTCGCTGAACACCTGGGAGGGAGAGCTAGGGTACAGCTTTAACAGGGGTGGAAATTAAAACTCCTCCCTCCTGTGTTGATTCAGTGATGCTATCAATGCCCTCTGATAGCCTCAACGGGAAAATTAATCTGACTCACACTTTCTCTGCCTTTCCTTCAAGAAATCTTGTAAAAATAAATTTAGTATATAAGAGTATAATTTGACAGTGCTCTTTTGCTAATTATATTGCGAACATGCTCCCTGAGATTTTAGCCACATCATTTTTTAAAAAATTCTATCATCTATGTTCTCTCTCCAGCCAAGGTTTGTCTTGAGTTCCAGGCACATATGTTCAGCTATCTAAGCAACATTTTAACCTAGTTCTATCCAAGTGTTTCAAACCCAACAACATGTCAAAATTGTACTCACCACATTTCAACTCAAACCCACAATATTTTACTACCAAACTCTGTATTCACTGTCTTACAGTACCATATCCATTCTGCTCCCCAAAACAGAAACTCGGGTCACACAGTTTATCACCAAGTACTGTCTTCTGTTTCAAATCTATCTTCTGCTCCACATTCCAGCTGGACTTCACTGGCCCAGGCTGCTTTATTTCTTACCTAGAATATTAGCATGGCTTTTTAGTTGAGTTCTCTGATTCCATTCTATCAGATTATCCACCACACAATGTCAGAGTGATCTTTACAATACATAAACCTTATTAGCTTCTGCTTAAAATCATTCAGTGGCTCTGTTTTGTATTCAGGCGAAAGTCCGAACTTTTTAGATATGTTTATAATGACCCTTACAATCTGTCCCCTTTATACACTTCTATTTTCTCTTGCTAAACTTCAAGGGATAATTCTTAATCAGTTTTACAGGAATTCTCGCAGCTTCCTGAGTGAGGTATGCTCCTGTGTACTTGTGAGTGATTTCTGATAGTGTTTCCTTTATCTGAAACAGCTTTACTTACCTGGTTAACCTTCTTAAATAATACCTGTCATTAAACAGTCAGTTCAAATATTACTTTTTCTTCCAAGACTTCTCTAACTTTCTTGGATGAAGCCAGGTAACTTCAGAAATTTCGTGACTGTGAGCCTCTACCTTGGACACTTTCTCGATTATGTTGTTATTGCCAGTTCTTAAATGTCTCCTACAGCTGCTGGAAGTTCTTTGTTTGAATTTCTGTACCCCTAGAGGATAGTCTAGTACTTGAAACATGGGGGACACTGAAAAAAAAGTATTCTATGAATGACTAAATGCAAGAAATGTAAGGAGGAAGTTAATTTGAGAGGAAATTATGGGGCAGAATTAAAAAGTCATAGTGGATGTTTGAGGAAAAGAATTGCGGGGGTTTATTCTACTTTATAGTAAATAAATGTTTCCTTCTTCATAGATTCCCCAGCGAAATTATGTAATTCTGTATTAAGTAATGATCAAAATGTAAAATTATTGTATTGCTTTAAAAACACAGAAATTGTAACTTATAAAAGTCATAGGCTAAGAGGTGAATGAATCTTTTGAAATTTCATGTAATTTCTATTTGAACTAATTCATAAGGTGGAAAGTAAGAAACAGGTAATTTCTTATCATTTAATAGAACAAAATATTTCGAGCACATATTTTAGGATAAATTATCAGCATCTTCTAAAATTCCTTTAAAAAGTGAAATAAGTAATCTAATTCTTCAAGAGGGACCTTTTTCTCTCTTGTACATTTAATTATATGCAAGAAGATACAGTAAATTATTGTCAGTTCCAGTTAAATTTTTAAATAGCCTTTTGTGGGAAAACAGAGTAAGCTTGTATTTCAATTCTGAAAACTGATACACTGAAGGCAGGTTATAATAGTAAGGCTTTGTCTGAAGTTCATATTTCTATCAAACTACCCTCTATAACCTAGTCTCCAAAACAAACCATAGAGAAAAACAAAATATGTGAGCAATACTAAAATAGGTGTCCCAAGGTTGAGGCAATAATGCTTTGCACTTGAATCCATTTACCTGAAAGCTACAGTTCAGATAGTCCTAGGATTCATCATACAGCTAATTAGAGAAAGAGACTATGTGTGCACTTGTATATATGTGTTTGTGCATAAATGCCTTATTTTTGCATATGAATAATCCATAAAGTTACACTTATCATTTCAGTGAGTTCTTTAAATGTGCATCCTGTCTGCCGAATTAAAATTTAGCTCTTTCCTTTTTCCCATCTATATTTAGAATTTGAGCTGCAGAGAAGTGAAATCTGACTCAAGGATTAACCAATTAAATGTTCATATTCTCCATCTGAACTCCATTTGAATCAGTTCAATATATCAGAATTGGGAGAAGCTTGAGAAACCCTCGGTGGCTTTTATTATTGTTTTAGGCCTTTGACTTTATATAAGCTCTGGATTTTCATCTTCAGTTTGAATACAACGGGCAGTTTAGCCCCATGGCGTGCCATGTGAAACGCCATGTGTGTTTTCCTTCCCTGTGCTTCATTTTCCTGCATTCCTAGTATATGATGTATCCTGTTCTCTGTTTACAGGTATGTGGACTATTTCGGGTCAAGTCCAAGCATTTAGAAAAGGCAGCTGTGTCTTAAAGGTCCTCTTGGTCATCAAAAATCTCTGAGAGTTCAGAGCCATGCAAAAATGAAAGTTATTCTCACTCAGAGTAAACTGCTTCATATTGTACTTGTTATTTATTCAAAGTTGACATTCATCTCTAATAACATTATTTGTTAACTTTTTACTTTGCTTAAAATGAGAAAAATATGCTTTATGATTTTCCCAAACAAAAGAATGTTTAAATAATATCTATATTTTATATATGAGCATGTATGAACGAGGGTTTAATATTCATTAAAAGTATTATTTCTGTTTAGCTAACCCAACATTATAGGGCTTTTAAAAATTATAAGTGATAAATTACTCTTCAATATGTATGGAGTTTTTCCAACTATAAAGTGGTAGTTTTTGTTCTTTTTAATGATGCTAAGAAGTACAATATTTTGGTACATATTTTATGTTTCTTTATTTGTGTATTATATGTCTGTAAATTGGCACTTGGAAGAAAAAATATATCTAGATCAATAATTCTGTGATCCTCATGAAGTCTGTCTGGTAAGCTAATGAATATTAAAAATATTACCATTAGTCTTGCATAACCTCCAAGCAGAAAAAGGACCTAACCACTGAAGGGCAGAGATACTTACTTTAATAAAGTAAATGTACTTCAAAGTTACTAAATTTTTCATGTTAAAAGACTGAGCAGTTGCTAACCTAGTACATGTCTCTGGTAACCCTCTTAAAAAATATGCTTATTAGACAATGGGTATTCAATTAATACCTATGTACTGCACATAGAGTTCACTACATAGCTAACAGTCTGCCCACAGTGAAAATAAAGTCTATCTGGTGAGGCAAGACACATACACATGGAAATATCATTATATATGGCAGTTTATTTGAACCCAAATGTGAAAGTGTAACACATTTATCTGGCACAGAAAAAGAGAGAATAGAGCTGCATGATAAATGATATATGTAGTGAAATTACAAAGTACAAAGGAAGGCAGAGTAAAAGGATATTTTCATCATTGTCAACAGGAGTAAATTGTTACATTTTGCATCTTCAAATAGCTCTGCTTGAGAAATGCATATCCATTTTGGTGCTAAATCATAGGGTATTTTAACACTAAGGTGAGAAGCATTTTACCTTTGTTGTGATTCATCAAGCATTGCTATTTCTCATTCCTTTATCTTACCTTTAAAAGGGAGATAATAATACCTACATCACTGAATTGTTTCAGAAATAATGAGGTAATATGTTGAAAATTTCTAGTAAAATGCCTGGTAATGGCTATGACTCAATAATGATGACTTTTATTATTACTTTGTGTATAATTTTGAAAACAGAGTAAATCCGAGTGCGATTTCTTAAATTTTTATTAGCATTTCAAGCTAAAACACATTACTGTTTGGGTACAAGCATAGATTATTCACATGATTCTGGCATTTAATTTTTTTTTCTTTTCTTACTATTTATTTTATTGAAGTAAAGTCAGTTTACAGTGTTGCACCAATTTCTGGTGTGCAGTGTTTCAGTCATCCATATACATACATATTATCCTTTTCATATTATTTTTCACTATAGGTTGCTACAAGATACTGAATGTAGTTCCCTGAGCTATACAGATTAAACTTGTTGTTTATCTATTTTACATATAATAGTATCTGCAAATCTTGAACTCTCAATTTATCCCTTCCCACCCTCTTTGCCCCTGTTAACCATAAGTTTGTTCTATGTCTGTGAGTTTGTTTCTGTTTTTCAGTGAGTTCATTTGTGTCTTTTTTTTTTTTTTAAGATTCCACATATAAGTGATATCACGTGGTATTTTTCTTTCCCTTTCTGGCTTACTTCACTTAGTATAATGATCTCCAGGTCTATCCATATTGCTGCAAATGGCATTATTTTATTCTTTTTATGGTTAAGTAGTATTCCAATGTATAAATGTATCACAACTTCTTTATCCACTCATCTGTCATTGGACATTTAGGTTGTTTCCATGTCTTGGCTGTTGTAGTATTGCTATGAACACTGGGGTTCATGTGTCTTTTCAAATTAGAGTTCCCTCTGAATATATGACCAGGAGTGGGATCGCTGGATCATATGGAAGTCTATTTTTAATTTTTTAAGGAATCTCCATACTGTTTTCCATAATGGCTGTACCAAACTACATTCCCACCAATAGTGTAGGAGGGTTCCCTTTTCTCCACATCCTTTCCAGCATTTATTGTTTGTGTTCTACTATAGAGCTCCAGTAATAAAAACAGTGTGGTACTGGCACAAAAACAGGCATATGGATCAATGGGAACAGAATAGAGAGCCCAGAAATAAACCTACACACTTACAATCAATTAATCGTCAGCAAAGAAGGCAAGAAGACAATAATGAAGAAAAGACAGACTCTAGCATATTTTTATTTCATCTAGGACTTTGCTTGTATATATTTATATGTGTTCAAACTAATACGAAATTATGAGTGACCAATATAAATTCATATACATATGTATACATGCACATATGTGTATATAAAAGATGTATATGTACTTATACATATAGATACACTTAATCAATTATTCCTTTCCTTCAATATTGAAGCAGTAAGTCTGTTTTAAAATCAGTAACCTGTATTCGAGCTTATTTACAAAAATTCATTTTCAATGAGCAAGTTCTCTACCTTAATTTTAGCATAATTTCTTATCTCATGATGTTAATAAAAACAAGGGAAACACTTTTATTTGTATTCATAATAATTTAGAGAAATAAAGGTGGATAACATGTATCATTTAAAATGTGCTAAACATTCTTATTTTATATATATAATGATTTTGTAACTCAAAATATTTCACACAGTTAAACACTCTAGGCACTAAGGGCCACTGCAGGCCTGTAGTCTATTCCTGGGGTGAGAATCTTCAGGAGCAGTTACCAGCATACTGAATGAGTAGCAGAAACAGTGCTGCCTATAGTTATAACAGGTGCTGGCTTATCCTCTAAGTATGATGAATCAGTGCTAACATATGATTTTTACTTATTTATTTTTACTGCATAAATCTTCTTGTGCAGATTTCACTCCTTAAAAATAGTATGCATTGTAAATAGTGCTGCTATGAACACTGAGGTGCATGTATCTTTTCAAATTAGAGTTTCTGTCTTTTCTGGATATATGCCCAGAAGTTAGATTGCTGGATCATGTGGTAACTCTGTTTTTAGTTTTTTAAGAGACAATTTATAATAGCCAAAACATGGAAGCAATTTAATGTCCACTGACAGATGAATGGATACAGAAGATGTGGTATATGTATATACATACAATGGAATGTTACTCAGTCGTAAAAAAGAATGAAATAAAGCCATTTGCAGCAACATGGATGGACCTAGAGATTTTCGTACTAAGTAAAGTCAGACAGAGAAAGACAAATATATTATCACTTATATGTAGAATCTAAAAAAAGTGATATGAATGAACTTATTAACAAAACAGAAATAGACCACACGCAGACATAGAAAACAAACTTATGATTACCAAAGGCGAAAGGGGAGAGGGATAAATTAGGAATTTGGGATTAACAGATACACACTACTATATGTAAAATAGATAAACAACAAGGACCTCCTGTATAGCACTGGGAACTGTATTCAGTATCTTGTAATAACCTATAAGGGAAAAGAATCTGAAATATATATATAAATACACATATATAACTGAATCACTTTGCTTTTCACCTGAAATGTTATGTATCAACTAACTTCAACAAAAAGTAGTATGCATTACTTTTGTCATAAAAATTGTAGCTAATGGTTCTAAATATTACATATTTAAAAACTCATTTAAGTAATATTTTATGTGTTAAATGTTTATGATGAAACATAAAATTAAAAATTGGATCTATACTCTAATTAATGGTATGCAAATTTAAGCAAAGAAAAATCATATACTTTTTGTCTTTTCTTCCCCCCAAAATACCACTAAATTCCTTCCAGTTTTCTCCATAGTCACTGCCATACCTTTTTCCAAGGCTTCCCTGGATAATTGCAATATTCTCTTCACCAGTATGTCTGGTCATTTCTTTTCTCACTTTATTCCCAAATGATCTTTGAAAAATGCGTATTATATTACTCTCTTAAATAAATCCCTTTAGTAGTTTTCCACTGCCCCTAAATTATGTTCAAGTTTTCAGCAGAGCCTACAAAATCTTCCATCGTCCAAGTCCCACCTACCTCTCTAAAAATCCATCTACTAGCCTTCCCTTTACTCTTTATGCAACAATGATATTGGACTTTGTTCTGTTTTTCTAGCCAGAGAGTCAATATAGAATAATACTGTCTTTCTTAAATATTCTTGATCCGAAAAAGTAAAATTAGATTTTACATTACAACCAGTTCACACTTATACACATATTTTACTGAAACAAAAAGTTTGCCAAACATCCGTCTTTCCTAGCTATGATATACTCTAATATGTTTTATCATTTTTCCTATTGTATTAACCGAAACAAATATTCTGGGCAGTAGATTCATTAAATTGATTTCATGACCATATAAATGGATCAGGGCCAACAATTTGGAAAATGTTGATTTAGTAATTAAAAGTTCATTCTCTAGAGCATGAAGGGGCCCAGTAGGCAGTTTAAGTAAGTGGAGGAAGTCATTCCAAATGATACAATGGAGTAGGCACACCAGGAGCAAAACAGAGACATAAGCCAACACACACACACACACACACACACACACACGGCTGTGCTGATTTGCAGTCCTTCCCTAACATTAGATTCCCATTCCATAGACTCACATAGTTGCCTATATTTGCTTTTTATGCCACTGTAGCTGTAACTGATTTATTTTCTTTGGTATCCTTAGTTCTAAGCACAATGCGGATGGTACTCCTGAATGAAATACAACAGAATGGAGGGAAATATACCCATAGTAGTGTCATAGCAGGAGCCTATGTTGTGCCTACCAGAGAGGTCCAATAGAGCTCATCTCTGCCTGGCAACAAACTACGTAAACTGGCAAAGAAGAGACTTAAGAACACTGGGTCAAGCTGGGAGTGAGGGGGATACTTCAGAGTATAATGCACATGAGGATGACTACCACGGCTACCAGTATCATCACCAGAACTCTTACCCTCTGGCCCTGTCTTTGGGGATTTATACTTCATCTTAGAAGAAGAATCTAGAATCCCAGCCATCTTACCAAAATCTCTGGGAGACTGAAAATGCAAGTCAGCATGAGTGGATTCAGCAAAGTTGGTGCCGGGAACTTTGGCAGCAATGGGAGGCGAAGCTGTCCGCTGTACAGTGAGGCTGTATCACCTTCAGCAATTGACAGCCCCAGAGCAGGCTCAATGGCAATAATGAAAAGGTGGGGAGGAATGGAGTGTCTCTAAAGCAGCTGTTGCAGCGAGATCAGAGCAGGAACCATTGATCCCCCTAGGGGCTCCCTCCTGGTGACCCAAGTTCTGAGCTTGGAAATATTTGTAAGACCTCCTGAATAGTCTCAAAGGTAAGCTGGAGAGGCTTTGGGAATTGAAATTGGTCTAAAATTCTATGAGATGCATGTGAGAGAAGAGCAGAATAAATTCAGTTTAGAGGCAGATTGAGATCTGAGTTTTATATTGTAAACATGCTAATAGCAGTTAGCCAGTTAAAATTATGGGTAATTCTTTGTTATTTTTTTCTGAAAATTTTGTAAATATTTCCAAAGTGAAAAAGTATTTTAAAAAGGATGGTAGTAACAACATTAGTCAAAGTTGTTTGAGTAACTCATGTATGTTAACAAATTTGATGGTATATGTGGAACTATATACATATATATATACACACACACACACACACATACACATATAATTAGCTACATATTATATATTTCACACATCTGTTAGAGTTCAAGATATGTAACTATATAACTAAGCCAAAAGAGTGGCTCCAATCACTTCATAAAAGAGATGCTTGAAACTTGTAATTTCCCCAGATTGTGCCATAAAAGTAGAAATCAGGTGAGGATTAGAATCATCAGCTCCCATATAACTATTACTTAGCTCCCAAGGATCTTTCAAATTAAGTAGAAAAAGAAAATGACATTCTCAACAGGGAGAGGCTAGTATGGTTTTTTTCTGTTATAATGAGAGGCTGAAACTAATTGTTGAGCTGCTTGGGAACAGAAAGTAAATGCTAGAAAAATAGCAGCTAAAATAACAGAGTATATAGTAACCTTTACTTTCCCTCCCCTAAAGAAATTATTCAAGTGTGTTTTATAATTATCTTGATTTTTTACTTTCTCTAAAATTATTACTTAACAATGGGCAAAACCTCCTGGCATCATTTTATGCAGCACTAAATGTCAGAGAAATTTGTCTGTAGGGCAGACGCCTAGGGGAGATGAAGCAGATAATGTCCAGAGAGGTGTCAGACTAGCTTAGCAAATGTTTCCCCAGTTAAAACGGAATTAAAGTGCTTATTTACCTCAGTGAAGTTAAGCCATAAATCTAGTAATAGCAATTTTGTGAATTGTGAAAATGGTGTCCAATTTTGAAAAAGAAAAATAGTGCTTTAACAAATCCTCTTGCCTCCATTCTTACTACAGAAGACATGGGTATGCTCTCATTTGTCCCAACAGAAAACATCCATTACAAGAGCAAAAAAATGCCTGGAATGTAAATTCAGTATCAGAAGTTTATTCTGGTCCTGGGATTTGAATATTAGTGATGGATAATATTGACAAGGGTGAAAATAGAATTTGAAAATGGTCATAATTCTCTTTTCTTTGTGTGTGTGTTTTTGTAGCTACAGTTATCTACAGTGGTTATATATTTCATAAACTCTCAGAGGAAATGTGGAACAAATGATACACCAATAAATCTGGCTTCAATAATTTCAGCCTGGAATATGCAGTAATGATCATTTCTGTGGATGGATGCGATATGTCTCCCAACAAATAGCCTCCAAACCTGCGCAGCCAACTATTGGAAAATCACTGTTCTGCTCCAGAAGACATCAGCCATTCGTTCCTGCTCATGGGTCATTGTGCCATTTCTTTGGGGTAGGCAGCTCAGTAATGCTGAATATACCCACTGACTTCAGCTCTTTAAATTCTGTTTGTTGTCATCACACTTCCAGCTGACTCTGAAAAATGGCAGCTCTGCTTGGGGTTGGTAGTGGGACGGAAGGGTGCTTAAGCACTTCTAAACTGCAAAGAGTGTTCTATAGCATGCTCCAGTGTGGTACACAATCTGGGTGTAATTGGACTTTTTGGATTGCTTGGCCCAAAATACAACTGAGCGATACACAAGAGAATATATATTTTTAACACTGTAGTGGCTGGCAGCCATTGGAAAATCAAGAATTGATTTGGCATATTAAAATAATTTTAATAGCACATTAATTATGTTGTCTTCTATATCCAAGTGCATTAGCACTTACACATATATTTCTCATCAACCTTATTTTGCTGGCATTTTTTTGGCATTTTATTATTTTTATTTTGAGATAAGAAAATCAATTAACAGAGAGGCTAAATGATTTGCCCAAGATTGTGCAGCCAGTGAGCAGGAGACAAAGCTTCAGATCAGAGCTTCCCACTCAGGAGCATGACTCTAAGCTTATTTCTGGTCTTTGGGACCAAAGGACAGAGGGGCTCAGTTTTAGAACTTTTGGCTGTAAGGATGCTTTGAATCCATTTTATCTCAGGTAGATTGACTTATCCAATTCCAGTGTTGTCATAGCCCTCTGGCTGTTTGTACATTATGGCAAACATATCAAGCATAGTGGTGAGGAAGGAATGGCATTTTGGAATAGCAGAATATAGTAAAATATATGAAAAATTTAAAAAATTTAAAATCATGATTAAAACTGCTCCATTTCATATAATGGCCTCCAGACTTGAGACAAATCTTTTTCTTTTTTTTCCTGAGATTCATGGATGGATGGTTGCTCAGTGTTTCAAAGCACACACCTACCAGCATCTCTTTCACAGAGAAACAAGGCATGCCTTTTTTTCTTTAAAAGTGCTGATCTAAGGCCACTTCTGGAACATTTACCCCACCTTCCTAGACAAAGCAGACTTGCACCATCCAGCTTACCATATTCTCCATTTTTACCACAAGTAAAGAGTTACTTCTGGAAGGCAGGTGTGTTTCTCAGGTCTCTGTTGCTTCACTTTCAAGGTATAAAATAGCTGAGGCTATTTTTTGTGCATTCCCGTCCTCCCTAGACATTACGGCTATGCTGAATTACTTCGAAAGTGGTCTTTCATTTCCAAACCCCAAAGAATTTTAACAGCTAACTTTTACTCTCTCTACCTAGATATTTATCTAAGTTTTATTCTATTTCCATATATCTGCAGGCTTTTGAGATTCTGGAACTATAATGTCTCTCTCCTTCTTGCTCTTGCTCACTCAGAAATGTGAATCTTTTGAGTTCCAGCTCAAAGGCTCTCTCCCTTCTTAAAGAAATACCTAGTTTGAAATAAATATCCCCATCTCTCAGGTACCAATAGATCAGCAAAATTAAACAACTCCAGAAACTGGTCACTGAGAAGATAGAGATGGTGGTGCTCCAGCCACCTGTAGAGCTGGAGGTAGGTCCAGCTGACGTCACTGCTCAGTCTCAGCCTGGCCTCTCAGCTCCCTGGTCAGAGACTGGGGGCAGAGGAGAACTTCCTTGGCCCAGGCATCTTGGAGTCCTGTCTCATCATCACAGCTGCCATCCCTGAGAAAGATGACGCTCAGCCTATCCCTACCCCTACCCACCATAGCCCACTTGGCCCTACTCCCTAAAAGCCACATGACCTGGGAGGAAAAACTCAAAAAATGAAATAAAATAAATGCCTGGGCCTTTCTTCCTCTGGGCTGCTCCCCTACCTGACCACCAGAAAGCCAGAAGCCAGAATATAAAGTCACGAATCTGGACATGCTGGATGAATGAGAAGTTGACGAAAAGAAAGTAGGCGGAAATGCACACTGGAAACAGCATTAAGACGGAAGGAGGTGGTGTAGAATATATTATGTGAGCGCTGTAATGTTTACCATAGCACTAGTGTAAAGTACATTTTGGCCTGGTTGACCAAGCTTCAGGGAGGTTCATAATTCAGTAGAAATGTATGGGGGCAGAAGGCAGCCAAGGAGAGTCTAAATGGTAAGAAATGGTCTACAGATTAAAAATTGACTGAATAATTCATACGTTTTAGGATCATCTATGTGATTTACTATGAGATGTTAATGGCGTTAACAATTAACAAAGTAATTTACTGATGTGATGTTCAGACTTATTTTCCATTTCCGTGGATTCCTACTTCAATTATTTTTAGTTAAAGAAGATAAAATACAAACTGCTGTAATTAATATTGGGTATATATTCCCTCTAATACATTCGCATTTTACATCCTCATCTTTATAGTAACAGCAATTCAGATTCAATCAACATTTCTGTGTGCACCACTACATTCAATGCATTTAGTCTTATCCAAAGTTTAAAAAAATGATTTTTTATAATGAGCTATATAAATGGCTGACTTAGAAAATTTATTCATTTGCAATCAGACTTGTGGATATTAACTGCTGTCTTTATATGTGTACGTATATAAACAAACACAAGAAGAAATGATAGGAGAAATCACTGTCTAAGCAGACTTTATATTTAGATGTATTCTAGATGTACATTATGCTCTTGCAAAATAGCTAAGACCAACTCCATGGCCCATTATCATCCGACTCCTGCCTCTGGTCTCAACTCCCCTCATAAGCTCTTCCCTTTATTGCCACCTTCAGTACCACAGCTGGCCTGTCCTTTCCAAGAGGACAGCATGCCTGTCCAATACCATGTATTTTCTGTTCTTTTGTCAGGAGAGGTTCCCCTGCTTTTCAGCTAGTTCTCTCCTTGATTATTGTTTCTAAAGCAGGTTCCTCTGGCTGTTCTTTAGACAGCATCCCTTTTATTTCCTTCTTGACACTTATTACAAGTTGTATTGATTTCCACTTCTTGTTCGACTATATATATTGTGTTTTCCCAATTAGAATATAAGTTCTTCAAACACAGTCACCAGGTATGTCTTGTTCACTTTGTGTTTAATATAGGGCAAAGTGCTTAGAATTTTTTTTTTAATTAAGGAATGAAAGGGCACACATTTCACAATTATCATTCTTCTTGTCCTGTATTCTCGGAAACATGACTAGAGATTTCCCAAACACTTCAGGTTCTAGGCATGAATTATACACACATAAAATCATAAGGCTATAAACCAAGCCATCTTAGTTCCTTTTATCTTGGATCCCTGGTTTGCATTTAAAGTGTATAATATTTTTAGAGTATTTCGGATTTTACTAATAAATATCTTAAAGCCATCAGAAACATTATTGCTAATATCTACACTTATGATTAATAAGGTTGTGTTGAATTGGCTGCTTTAAAAATTGTGGAAATCTGTAAGATACACCATAAAACTAAAAAGCATACTATAAAAACATTTATGGTATGTGTAATTATACAAAAACACCTACATACAAGCATAGGGAAAGAATTTAGAAGGAAATGCGTAAAATGTTGAAGGTGTTTACCCAGGGGTAATGGGAATAATAGGAAATTTTCATTTTCTTTTTTATATTTTTCAATATTTTCCATCTCCATAAAATATAAATGTATTGTTTTTTATGTGAGTAAACAAATATCCAGAAAACCACTGAATAGTTGGGAAAATAAATTGCCTTTAAGCACAAGACAAACTGCAGAGAGTGGAATGACTAATTTCTTTCATAACTATTTATTTAGAGTTTTATGTCTTCCTGGAACTGCTGCAGAATGTGTCAGGCTTTCAAAAAGAAATGAATCTAGTTTCTACCCTTAACGATGCAAGTCATGTTTACAATTAACTGTAATTAAAGATGGAATGTTGTAAATTATCACGAAGAATATGAGATACAGAGGTGGGAAAGTCCTTTCCTGGGATGTGATTAGAGTTTTCATGGGAATGGCCACCAAGACAAGCAAGAATGTTGACTATGAGAGGAAGACTGTTCAGATCAAGGGACTAACATGCACAAAGGTGGCCAGGCAGGAAGAGACAGAGTATTTCAGTAAGGGGAAGGAGGGAAACAGGACATACTGGGGGAAAAAAAAAAAAAGAGAGAGAGAGAGAGTTCAACTAATGAAAAACACAGAAAGATTCATGGGCCCAACTTATGGAGTCAACAGAAGAGTGGTCAGGAGAGTGAAACGGGGGCCACTCTGAATTTTGATTTGGCAGAGGAGGACCGGCTGGGCAGGGCATTAGATGAGTTGGGAAGATAATGTATGTAGTTTTAAACAAGCTGGGATTGAAATCACTGGAGTGGCTGACATCTTCTATAGTGTCAATTTAGAGTAAGGACTGAGGCTTTACATAAATAACCTAGGTATTTTAATAGCCAAATAGAATGGGGAAAAGGAAACCAAGTAGGAGGCTCCTATGAAAGTTCATGCTACTGAGGGTCAGATGTGGCTTCATGGCAGTTGAATTGAAAGGGAACAGAAAGGTGTTAGGGACACTTGGATTGCTGTTTTGTCTTTCTGTTTTGAAACCAAATTAAGATTAGCTAGTATAAGTAGTGTTATTTTATTCAGGCCAGAGATTTTCAAACCTGGGTCTATGTCACAATCATTTATATATCTGTCTAATAATTTAATGTACATGATATATGTTAATTGAGTGAATGAATAAATTAATGCTTAATGTATGCCTTGAATCATTATGACCAACTGCCTTTTCATTTATATTAATTTGTGATATTAGAGGATAAAAAATTACATTAGGCCTTATAATGTATAATTAATACATTTTGTGTGTGATTTTAACATTCGCAAGGAAAGAATGCCTTTTAATTCATCAGTAGCTGGAAATATTGAAAATGTACTGAATTTATACAATTCAAGATTCTTAATGGCATTGATCTGGTAACTGGCCCTTTCCCTTCCTTATGCTGGCAAAGTGACTTTTTACTAGCAATTATGGAAAGAGCCATTATATATCCATAATGTCATTGTCAATGCAATTCATTGTTGAATCAAATTTACCTCTCTTCGTATTTTCCCAATTTTCACTTGGCCTTAGGTATTTTCATTGTATAAGATGCAAAAACATAATGACTCTTTGTCTTTCTAAATAAAGATACTAGCCACAAAATGAGCTTTTTTTTCCAGTTCTTTTCACCACTGTAAGTCACTGAATCCCCTTTTCATGCCTTCCTGCTGAATTTTTAAACCAATGTTTACTTAAAGGAGAAAAAAAGCAATGACCTCCCCAAAAGATGTTCCCACAACCCAACTGTTAATTACTTTTTTCAGAATGAATCAGGAAAAACATTTCTTTGAAATTAATTAGAAAGACTGCGCCAATGGTTAATAAAGATTCATCAAGTTCAACATTTGTACGTGTTTCCATAAGCATAATCATTCTTAAAACACATCAGTGTAGAGAAACTGTCAGATGGCTGATTCTAAAATCAGAAATATTAAATTTGCATGTGTTTATTTTTCACTACAACATAAACACACTTTGATATGTAATTAGTACTGGCTAGAATCAGATTTCTCCACATTTGCTACCCCAGTATCTGATTTCGGATTTTTTTCCTTTCATACTCATTAATATACTACTATGCTTTAAGGACATGCTTACTATTACTGTTTTATTCTGCTCCCAAAGTTATATATCATATGTTTTAATATCACAGAATTGCTATTGAATTCTTAGGAGAAGAGCTTTGAAATTGGCAAAGAGAGCCTTAAAAACACCAACTTCAAATTCGAGCTACCTGGAATTACCACTGGGAAATACATGTAGGGGACAAGGTTTCAGTGTCCCGAATTCCTTGCCTTTTTCCCTTCACTCTGCTACCTAGAGAAGTTTAGTTAGGTAAAGAGCTTTATGTAGTTGCCTCTGGAGTTTCACCCCACCCAGGTTCCCTGTAGCTCATGACACTTCTGACTTCTTATCTCCTCCTCTCTCATCTGTTCCTCCAATTTAACCTATGAGCTGTTTGTTAGAGATTGTTTCTCAGCCAGTTTTACATTATAAATGAGGAAACTATGTAGCTTACTTCAGTCTATATACCATGGTGGGATTAAGATTTGAATTTAGGGTTATGACGTATCAAACTGAGTATTTCAATATATTATGTTTCCATTTTCTTCACCTTCACCAATTAAAATTCAAATCAATTCATATAATACCTCTTCCAAAAAGTCTTCTTTGATCGTTCCAATTGGAAATTCTCTCTCCACTATGATACTTTGGTTATAATTACCTTATAGCCCTAAACTTTCATTATTACTTTGTATGTGGGTTTATATAACGTCTAGCTAGAAGTTCCTCATGATCAAAAACCATGTCTTCGCCACTTCTGTATTCCCCCCTCCAAGAGTCTAAGATACACAGGTGCTTAATAAGTACATGTTTGGTTAATCTAAGGTAACCTTGCAATTAGCATTTTCCTGAGAAGCTTTTTCTACTTGAACTTAGTGGGATAAGATACAAACTTGTTTCCTTTAGGAAACATTTGACAGATTCTTAAAAATTTTAATCTTTGTTTATTATTCCATTTTTCCTTCTTCTATAGTTAGCTACTGATGGTTTAAACAAAACAGCATGGTTAAGAAACTCTAATATTAAAGAAAGAGATTAAAATTTCATATCAGAGTCTTACTTTTTAAATAATTTTTGACAATGTACTTTGAATAGCATAGTTGCAATATATTCATATGGTCATTGCAGTGGTAAATTAGTATATTTCAATCCAACTCTTAAAGAAATCATCATACATGTGATATTATATTTGTCTTTAATATATATATTCTTTATAAATAAATAACATGTTATATGCAAATAACATATAAAACACCCATATAAATATATATATAAATAAATAAATATATATATAACTTAATCCTAATTTTGTAGAGGTGAACTAGGTTTCAATCTCTGCTTTTGGCATTTTACTACAGAAACTTACTTCTGTACTACAGATAAAATTTTTCAATATAAAAATTTTCTAAATGAGAATATGATAAATATAATGATGTGACATAATAAACAGCAGTTGGTTGCATCTTAATACATGCCACTGAATGAGGTTCTCATTTAAAAAATAATGCATGAGCATGTTCAAATTAAATAGCTCTACAGAAAATATGTGAATTTAGTTCAATTAAAAAAGATGATGACATAACAAGAATTTACCAACCTAAGTGTTACTTCTTTCCATGCATGACAACTATGACCTTGGTACATCTACACATGCTGCTCATGAAGATCTATCCATGATCATTAAAACAGTAGTGGAACCAACCAGGAGAAGACAATATGAGCCATTAATATGGTGTTAATGGGAAAGGTGCTTTACAGGGAAGGAAGAACAAATGTAATTGAACCACTACTCTTGGAAATGCCCTTCTGTCCAAAGAAACAAGAGTCAGTGAAGGAGGGACAGGGGTGGTGGTAGAGGAGGTGGTGGGAGGACAGGGGGTAGCTGGGTTGGTGGAGGAGGTTGGGAGGTAGGCAGGGGATAGGGAAGAAGAGTAGAGAGAAGACATGGTGGAAGTTGGGGTACAGAAGTTCCTAGGAAGGGGAGATTATGGTGAGAAGGGAGATTATGGGAGAAGAGTGGACTATTGTGAAAAAAGAACTTACAGAAATCCATATGGAGGAGGTGGTGGGATATTTAGAAGGTATTAAAAACTATAAAAATTAAATAGCAGTGCTTACTCTTTAATAGATCCATTAGGCATTGTATTCTAAACATTTTTAAATACTATCTTTGAAATAAACATCATGTTAATGAAATCATTCTTGAACTGGTTAAGATGTAACAGCACTGATTTGTACTACCATTTGATCTTTTAAAAGTGATTTTTTCCCATATTGTATGTGCCCTTAATCATGCTGTATCCTTTAAAAGATGAAAAACACAAATGATTTTTAAATGCAAATATTTTTTGCAATTGGAAAATGGAAAGTGTTTAGACATTTTAGTCCAGATTTTGGGTTTATGAGATATATTACATATTAGATGTAGAAATGAATAAATTAATACTTTTACTTATTTATTTTTAATGCAGGTACTGGGAATTGAACCCAGGACCTCATGCATGCTAAGCATGCGCTCTACCATTGAGCTATACCCTCCCTCCTAATACTTTTGCTTTTATTTAATGGTTTTGACTTTAATAACCAATTAATAACTATAACTTGTAATACATAATCCTGAAATATATAGTATAGCTATTTTTATATTCTGATTATTGCCTTACTGAAAATAGCAATTTTATAAGTCATTTTAAGTTACTCCTAACCAGGAAGCAGAATATTGGATATTCTTGTGTTTTATCTTGGTGTTGGACAGGACAGAAGCACAGTTTGGTATTTTTTTGGATTAGGTTTGCCAGATTTAGCAAATAAAAAATGGGACACTCAGTTAATTTTAAACTACAGATAAACCTATGAATTTTTTTAGTGTAAGTATATTCTAAATAGTTCATAGGGCAGGCCTTTACTAAAAAAAAAATCCATTGTTTATCTGAAATTCAAATGTATCTTGGTGCCCTGTATTTTATCTGGAAACTATTTCGGGTAAGTTATTTAATCTGCATTTCATGGTGCCTTCACCAGAGAGCAATGAAATTTTCTGCTAATTGGTTAAAAGCACAATTATATTTTTCCTGTAAATATGGAAAAAACAAGTGAAAAGGGGAATTTTTTTAGGAATTTCAACTAAAAAAAATTAATGTTCAGGAGCCCTCAACCTCGTGACTTCACATTGAGCATTCCAAGATACTTGTATCTTCTCACAAGTCACATACTCAGAGTTTAGAAACCTAGATTCTATGTTTTGAAGATGGACACTCAAACATACATTCCATTAAGTCATTTTTGGAGTATTTTAATTAAAAATAATAGTAGATAGCATTTACTGAACGTTATCTATGAAACTAAGTATTTTAGATTACATTAACTAATTTAAGCCTCTTAAAAATCTTACGTGTTAGGTACTATAATTTTACCCCTCATTTTTGGTCAAGAAAACCCAGGGCCAGGGGAATTAATGAACTTGTCAATAATCATACAGCTAGTAAGAGGGAGAGCTGGAATGTGAACTTGGACTGTCTGATTTAACTTAATTTTTTTCTCTTTAACCCTACTCTACTCCACACCTCTGAGCCTTGAGATAAAAATCTCAGACATTTCATGAGATTTGTCAATGAAAAATGGACATGAAAGCCACCCCTGGCTTTCATTTAAAATTAATTATAGGGATCTGCTTATCAGGACAGGAAGAGGAGTAGAGAGGAGGTAACCACAGAGCTGGGCCAACAGACGGGTGAAGCTCAGCACTTCTTGTTCTTCATCCTACGTGTTTCCTGACCTGTGAAAGCAAGTAAGAAACTCCAGAGATCACAAAGGGACCTCTGTTCATCTTATGCCGTGGGTCTGAAATACGGCCTGTGAAGCTGTGGTCAAAAGCACAAAGTGCTACATAAGGTCATCTCACTTGACATTCACTGGTTAAACCAAGAGTCAGCACACTGCTCATCTCCTTTCAGTTCCTTCTAGACTAGACTGACTTCCTGCCCCAGGCAGTGGCCAGCTCAGACAGCTCCTGGGAGAGTGCCTTTCCTCTGCCTGCTTCACTGTAAAGCCAAGTTACAGATCCACCAGAGAAAATGGCAAAATACCCTTCCTACACACATGAGACAGCAGGAAGTATATGAATTATTTCATGTAGCTTGGCTACTTTATGAAAAACATAACTATTTCTCTTGATGGATCTTGGTCAAAAGTAACATGAACCCATAAAGCAAAGCCTTTGTCTAAGACAAGAATACATATTATCAGATAAATTCTTTAAAATTTCTGATTTAGCCCTATCTTAGTTAGACTTGAGATGAAACTGTCCAACAGCTTACTGAACAACACGAAACATGCAGAATTGTCTGCTTTGTGGCATTCAGAACAAGAACTAAGCTTTCTATTTGTATTCAAGTAAAATAAAACAATTTTTTACTAAATACTGCTTTATTTTCATATGCCTCAGTGATATCTGCACGACTATTTATAAATTTCAAGTAACAAAATGAAAGTAGTAACTCTTTCAATTCCTTTTCTCAAAAAAGTAATTTATTTCCGTAGTACACCCTATAATTACTCCTGCCTGTTTAAATTGCTGAGTATATAGAATGATTATTTACAATTAAAAAGTGGGAGAATAATTATGGATGTTATCACAGAACTTTTTTATTCAGTATTTCCCACAGGTTCATGAAGAATATAGAAGAAAAGGAAAAATATGAAAATTAGCTGAGCATGTCAGAAGATTAATTTTCACAGAAGCCTTCTTTTAAGAAGATGGAAGTTCAGTATCCTTAGAAGACTTTAGAAAAGTAGTTTCCACTTTGCTCATACAGCACCATCCAATATGATTATTGAGAACATATATCAACAACCATTTATAAACAGAATATTCTACTTTAAGAATCATGATATCCAAATGCTCTATGGCTTAAAATAAACTTGAAAATTATAACTAATTTAAACAAATAGCTTCAAATAATGTATTTATTTGTCTGCACACCTTTTATATATCAGATATTGCCTAGGTGCTATATATGTCATATCTGATCAGAACAAGTTCCAGGTGGACACTCTTCCAGATTATCTCCATTTTTATATGTGGGAAAACTTAGGTTCATTAAGTTGAGAACTTGCTCAAGGCCATTTGATACAAGTGCCTTAAATGGGATTTAAAACAAAAACCTGTCTCGTTTCAAGCACCTTCTAGAAGGATTATTATTATCAAAAATATGAGTTGAACATACAATTAAAAAATTAATTTGCATTCAGGAAAGTTGGGAAAAGCACAAGCTTATAAATGGTCTCTCCAAAACTCAATGGTATACTTTTAAAAAATCTTTAAAATTTTAAAGAAAATATCCTCATTATTGAAACAAGTGAAGAGTACAGTCTCATATAACATACTTGGAGGACAATCCTCCAGGTTCCGTGCAATCTGGATAACCTGGGAAGAGACCCCCCAGAGTTGATGCATAATCTTTTTCCTTGAAGGGGTAATTAAAAGAAAAAAAAAACCCTAGAACTTTTACTAATATAGCTTAATGTAAGTGTCAGAGGATGGGTACAATATGGGAAAGCTGGGCTCTATTTAGAGCTTTTTCACTATGGCTGGTCAGTAGACCAAAGCTACAGCCAGGGAGCTGGGAGAAAAGGGTGCACAGATATCTCAACAGTGGCTTTTCTTTCTTGTAGGGGCCCAGTTTATTTCTACTGCTGAAGGAATCTTCTGACCTAAAAAAGTTAGGCATGACCAGTAGAGGGAGGGAGGGAGTAAGGATAGAAGGAAGGAAGGATGGATGGATGGATGGACATAAGGAAGGGAGGGAGGAAGGGAGGAAGGGAAAGAAAGAAGGAACTGATTTTACCAGCAGCTATAGCACCCATATCAAAAAAAGCGGTCCTCTCCTCAACTTTCCTTCAGTGACTGGCTTACCCTAGACAAGGAAGGATGCCTGAGGGGCACCCTCACAATTGAGAAAGGACATGTTCCACCTTCAGCAAAATTGGCCCTTAAAAAAGAGTCTCCAACAAATACAGAGGAAAACCATGTGGAGACTGACTTCCCAAATATTTGGCAGATGCTCATGGCCTGGGCATTGATTGTTCCTTCCCTCCTCAGACACTTGAATAACTAACTAGATAATATTTGAGAGCAAGTCTTCCTGCTCAAGTATTGGGAGAAGAAATACAACATCGCCCAGGTATGTGGAAGGAGTTAACTGAAGCAGAATTAATCCACATTATTCTGAAGTCAACTGCAAGTCTAAAGGGGATTAACATCCAAATTTAGCCCCAAAGTAAAGAAAATACAGCCACAGGAAAACTGCTGACAAGCATATTTTGGAAGAATATTTTCTTAGGAAAATGGAAGAAAATCTTATTTTGTGTTCTCAAACAAACTATATATATGTATGTATGTATTGTATATGCATTTATATATGCATATATACATATTTTATATATATACACACAGTTACATGCGGAGAGAGGGAGATTTAGAGGGAGAGAATAAATATCTGGTTTGAAAAAGAGGGATAAAAAACAGCCTCAAGCTTCTTCTCAAAGTATTATTTGCAACAACACAATTTCCACAGATATTTGAGGAAAAGAGCTCTCATGTTTCATCCAAACAATTGAAATTCTATGTAGCACTCTTAGTGTGTGGGTTTGCCTGTTGCATGGATCACTTTAGTTGACTGGGGTACAAATTCCAGAGCCACTCTATTATCTCCAACAACCTCAAACCAGAGTCTTCCCTGAACACTTAAAAATGTAGGATTCACTAAAACCGATGCAGAAATACCAGTTAAGCCAACATATATTATTTTCAGTCAAGCTCAAATATTCTCCAGGAATGATGCCACAGTCCCCAAAACTATTTTTTCTTAATTCCTGGATGGAAATGTGGACTCTTTATTGATTTATGCTTATTTATGAGAGAAATGAGACTGTGGGGCTCTTCATTGAGTACCAGCCAAATCTAGGGCAAATTTAGAAAGTTTACCTTATTCTTTTCAACAACAATATTAAAAAAAAAGAAAGAAAGACACTGGCATCCACATAATGTTGAGTACAGAACACAGAAATGCAAGGAAGGAGATTAGAACTGTCATAGAAGCTGGAACTCCCAGGGAAGCCCCAAACGTGCAGTATGTTGAGAGTTACTCTTTATGATGTCTTTGAGAGACTTGGAACTGTACCAGTGCAGAAGTGCTGGCAGAGAATGCTCCCGGAAATTAATGTGATCCACAGGATAATGTGTGCAGAATGATCCTCTAGTCTTAAAAATGGTGGACAAGGGCTAAGGCGGGCTAAGAGCAACTTCCATAGTGGAAGCTGAGGAATGCTGCTGTGGGTCAAAGTTGGGAAGTGGGGGAGTCACAAAGGCATAAAATGGGGGTTGCTGCTGCCCAGATGATCCCAGGCCTTAAGTCACTGCAATACCCCATCTCCAAAGGGGACCTGGACAAGGCCAGAGGAGGGAGGCAGAGGAACAAAGAACTAGAGGACTCCCCTCCTGGTATAGGGAATGATCTTCCAGAAGAAGAAAGTGGGAA